TATCCTCAAAGAGTGGGAAAACCAAAAAGAAGAAACAAGAACTTCTGGTGCAGAATTTAAGAATCACTGACGTGAACAAATATGCAATAACAAGTGATTGCTCACCTTTTTGGGAGCCAATTTTACTAGGCTCTCTACATATTAGTATATGTGCTTATAAGGAGAGCACTGCCCCTCTTGAATAATGTGAACAGGAAACGAATAGAGGACCTCTGGATACAAAGATCACTAAAAAATACACTTTATTAAAACAACAAACATTAAAATATATCTGAGTGCTAGTGATACCAGTCCACAACTGTAGGTGGTCCTCCTCCGAGACGCGTTTCGCCTACCGGCTTTATCGATCGGGATATCCATTTTATGTTCAGTTCCAATATTTAAATGCTTGAATCCTCTTCTGATTGGTCTACATGTTCCTCCAATGGCTCGTTCCTGTATTCACCAGCTGGATCCACTAAGGGATTATCCCCCGAAACCAGAAGTGACGTTGTGGACCAGACGCAGCATCACTTCCGGTCCGTTTGTCTGCAGCATTCCATTACCTGTAGTTCTGTTGCGGCCCAAATAAGTGTGGGCAAACCCCTTATCAGTCGGTTGTAATGCTGTATATCTAGTTCTGGCAAATAGACTCCCAGGTTAATTTGGATGGTGTCATTCACCCGAAGGCTAATAATCCAGTGGTCATTACTCATGTCATTAGAAGTGCAGGAATAAGGAGAAAAAAGGAAATAATATTTTGAATCGGAATTCAAATACAGTTCAGTACACAATATTCTATTTAAAAAAACAAGCATTAATGATAATATTAACTGAACATTAAAATTTAAAGGGATACAATCTATAGCAGCATAATATATGGTAATATTGGCTTATGTGTTCACCCCTAGTTAGCCACTTAATATAAAAATTGACAGGTAAATCTACTGAGTAATTGGCCTCAATGCCATATATATAGATACTCCTAGAGCCTTCTTAAAAAATTGTGTAAACTTGTTAGCACCAGCTAAAAATTATATGTTTAACAGACCACAAGTTAAAAATAGAAAAACACTAAAATGCCCAACACAAAAGCTATATTATTGTAAAAAAAAAAGTGACAAAGTTCAAAATCATTATTTAAACCATTTGGTTGAAGTGTGTTTAAATTGATAATCCACTTCATTTTCCATTGTCTAATTTTTTTTGATGATATCGTCGCCTCTCCAATTAAAATTAACCCTTTGAATACCCATAAAAACCATATAGCATGGGTCACTATTGTGTTTTATTTTAAAATGTAGAGATAGACTGTGTTGGATGAAGCCATTTTTAATGTGACAAAACCCCTGTTTTATGAGTGCCCTGCCTTTTGTATTTAGTCTGTTGTTTGTGTAGTTAGCCCTATTTCGTTCTTTCATAAAAAAAAATGAACAAACTACCAAACAGCCAGGCCACCCACACTGGGAGTGTGCAGCTCATTAATCGCCCAGAAGCTGCGGTTAACCACAGCTATTTGTCAAACATCTGGGTAGTCACCGTTAGTTTGAACGAACACAGGGTGGTGGCCATTTTAAACTGACGAACGCCCAGCGGTGTTTGGTCGTCAACCAAAGCAAAGTTATATATTTTAATGTATTTTTGTTACTTTTGTAAAATATAAATATTTTCTCTACCTGGAGATAGTTAAGTTCGCTCAGGCCACTTAACCCAATTATCTCCAGTATAGAGAGGAGGGATTTCACTGTTCATGTGGGAGTGTGTTATATTTTACTGTAAACTGATTGGTCACTGTATTTTGTGTTCCTGTCCTCCACAAGGTCCCTGTGGGAGTAACCCTTGCTGGAGGACCTGAATAAAAGGCTGAGCTGTGGCCATCAATAAACCAGATTGTTTTACCCCTTCATGAAGTCTTGGCTCATGTTTGGGGGATTAGGAGCTATATTTCACAACACCTTTGTATTTACTTGGATTTTGGGAGACGCTGCATGGATATACTCAGCTGGAGTGTAAGATATTTGTAACATTTAATATTATGGATATGTTCCTGAATTCGAACTTGTAGTGGTCGAGTGGTATGGCCTATATAGGATAAGTTACCTGTATATGTGATCATATAGATCACATGTTTTGAATGACAAGGGATAATTTCGTTGATTTTAAAATTCCTATTGTCATTTAATGGATGTGCAAATTCTTTTATATTTCTTTTTGTACTTTTTGTACCCCTACAGACTCCGCACATCCCACATCCATAAAAGCCTTTAGATTCTTTGAATGGATTTTGTGTATTCTTTTTAGTTAAAAGACGATTCTGTGTAAGACTACACTTCAAGTTAGGGACACCCCTATAAATCACTTTAGGCTTGTCTGGTAGAATTAAATTAAGAGTTTTGCCACTTTTTAAAATCGGCCAGTATTTAGAAATAATTTTCCTTAATTGTTTACTTTGGCAATTAAAATAACAAATGAAAGCTATCGCAGTACCATCTACATTCTGTTTTGTTTCCTTATAGCTTATTAAAGTATTTCTATCCTGGACTTCAACTTCCTGGAAAGCTTTTTTCAAAAGTGCATCTTCATACCCCTTCTCACTAAATTCCTCTATAATTTTCTGTGCTTGTTAATAAAATTTAGTGTTGTCAGTACAGTTTCTTTTTATTCTCATGAGCTGTGTCTTAGGGGCATTTAAAAGCCAAGGGGAATAGTGGCAACTATTGCCTTGGATATAACTAATAACATCGACCTTTTTGAAATAAGTGCTGGTCTTGATGTTATAATTTTCTATATATATGTTTAGGTCCAAAAAGCTGACCAAACTATTGCTAAAGGTGCTGGTCAATCTAATGCCCCAGTCATTATCCTTAAGGTGTGCTAAAATGCTGTGAGAGATGATTCATCTCCCTTCCAGATGAAAAAAATATCATCTATGTAGCGGCAATAGGTCACCAGATTCGCATCCCACCAGTACTGTTCACAAATATGTCTCTGTTCCCATAGTGACAGGTTGGCGTAACTGGGTGCAAATCTGGTGCCCATTGTCTAACTACAGATCTGAAGGTAAAAAAGTGCCATGGTGCCAAAAATAATTATTGGTCACAATCCAGAAAATTTCTTCTGATAAAAAGTCTATTTGAGTTTGTGGAAATGTTTCAGAAGTCTCTAAAAATTGCCTAGTTGCTTTGCATACTTTATAGTGCGAGATAATCGTATAAAGCGAACTAACATCAGCCGTAACTAAAAAATAATCTTCCTCCCATTTGATGTCTTTTAAAATCTTTTAAATAGCTTGGGCAGTTTTGAACTACCGGTTGCAGGCAATTATCGATATATTGTGATAGCCTACTGGATGTAGATTCTATGCCTGAAACTATTGGACATCCTGTGGATGTATCTATATTCTTATGGATTTTTGGGAGGTAGTAAAACATAGGTATTTTCGGTTATTGTACATTTAAAAATTCAAATTCTTTTTTGTTTAAAATGCCTGTCAATTTTCCCTTATCGATCAGTTGATTGTAACTACAGGGAGTGCAGAATTATTAGGCAAGTTGTATTTTTGAGGATTAATTTTATTATTGAACAACAACCATGTTCTCAATGAACCCAAAAAACTCATTAATATCAAAGCTGAATATTTTTGGAAGTAGTTTTTAGTTTGTTTTTAGTTTTAGCTATGTTAGGGGGATATCTGTGTGCAGGTGACTATTACTGTGCATAATTATTAGGCAACTTAACAAAAAACAAATATATACCCATTTCAATTATTTATTATTACCAGTGAAACCA